CCACACATCCCGTTTCTATGAGGCACTGCGTTCCATCCTAGGTGCAGCCGCCACCACTACCCCACCACTGACCGTGGACTCTGAGGATGGGATATTGTCCGCGGCCGGTTCCTCGTCGGACATGTTAGCGGACGGGGAAGATGAAGAAGGAGATGAGGAGGACGAGGCAGTCGACAGCACTGGCACCGCTGATTTCCCCGACAGCCAGGAGCTCTTCATCACCCTTACCGAGATCCCCTACCAACCGTCCCCAGCCATTAGCCCGGACACAGAATCAGGGGAAGGATCAAGCAGTAAGTGCTCTAAACATGTAAACATTTATTTTTAACAGAACGGGAATATTTATAATATTAACAATGGGTTTTTCCTAAAGTGCTTTAAACATGTAAACAATTATCTGCAACAAAACACAAAGGGTTTCTCATGATTTGTCTGCCTTAGGCTCTTCACAATTTAGTCCCAAGTATTTAAAAAAAAATTTACAATGTCGGGTAATTCATGATTCTGCTGCCCAAGATGCTCCACTCTTTAGTCCCAGTGCACCTACGCGAAAATCCGGTCAATATGGCCGGGGATAGAGGCGAAATCCTCATAGGAGAACTCCTCGTAGGTCTCATGGAGGTACATTTCCAGCCTGTTCATCAGGTTCCTGGGTAGGGCAATCTTATTGGGCCCTCCGTGGTAGGACACGTTTCCCCGCCACGACACAATCAAGTACTCTGGGATCATCGCACGGCAGAGCATGGCAGCATACGGCCCTGGTTTTTGCATGCTTTCCCTAAGCATGCGTTCCTTCTCGCTGTCCGAGATCCTCATGAGGGTGATGTCGCTCATGATGCCCTGCTTTGAATTAGGGAGGGGAATGTTAGTATTGGGACTGCTTTACAGCCACGCGGTGGAGGGAGAGGGGCAGCATATAGGGATCTTTCCCTGGGACAGCCGCGAGGGGGTGGGACAGGGGCAGAGTTCATGCTTGCCTGATTGCTGGCAGCAGAGACTGGCATTGCTTTCAATGTGAAAGGAGGCCAGTGCTACTATTACAGTTTTAAGCAGCCACAAGTCTACGGCTTACCATGATTGCCCGCTACAGACGTTCAGGTGTCCTGCCCCGCTTCTCAGATAACTGCAAGACCACTGCAAGACCCCAGGCACTGAAGGCGAGGGCCGAAAATTCGACCTTGTCCTGAGTGCGCATGTGAGAGGTGCAGTGCATGGTCTTGTTCACAGAGAAAGACTAGGTTCTTTGTACACAACTTCATTTATCTGTCTCAGGAATTCACTCCCTTTTTCCCATTCCCACAGACACATCTGCGACTGTCTCCCAACCCAGCCTGTCAGCACACTCCCAGAGGCTAGCGCAGATTAGGCGGAGGAAGAAGACGACGCGGGAGGACATGTTCTCAGAACTAATGGGCTGCTCCCGAGCCCAGGCAGCCCAGCAGACACAGTGGAGGGAGAACTTGTCACAAATGCACCGAGCAGTCATGGAACGGGAGGAGAGGTGGCGTCAGGAGGACCAGCAGGCTACTGAAAAGCTGCTTGAACTAATGAGGGAGCAAACGGACACGCTCCGGCGCCTTGTGGATGTTCTGCAAGACCGGAGGCAGGAGGACAGAGCCCCGCTGCAGTGTATCTGTAACCGCCCTCCCCCGCCACCAAGTCCCACACCCCCCTCACCCAAAGTACAAAGAAGGAGGGGCGGCAAGGGCCGTTAAAACTTTCAGTCAACGCCTGCAGACTGCTCTAGCACTAGAAGGCTCTCATTCCCCAAAATTTGAAAAGTCCTTTCCTACCCACCTCACAGAAGCCCCCGTGCAAGTTTCACCCCCCACGTTTCATGTGTGGTTCATAATAAAATATTCGTTTCTGTTAATTACTGTTTCCATGATTTTCTTTTGGAGGAGAGTCTGTCTGAAGGGGGGGAAGGGGCTTGGTAATTGGACAGGACAGTCACCTTTAGCAGGGTACAGAGGCGGGGTCAGGTCCAGCATCAGGACACATACACAGTGCAGTCACTAGTTACCCTGGTCAGCCTGGGAGGTGGTTTTCATGTTCTGTGGGGGGAGGAGGGGGTTGCTCTGTGACTTTGTGGCGGGGGAGGGCAGTTACAGATCTTATGCAGCGGTCCTTATCCTGGATCACAGAGCCACGCAGCAGGGGATCTGTAACTCTCCTCCCCCTGCCAGAAAGTCACATAGCCGACACATACACGCAGTTCCGCCCAGGAGGGCTGGCAGGCTCCGTTGAAACAACCAGTCCACCACTGCGGAGCCTGTCATTCCTGGAGTTTAGAAGCATCATTTGCATCAGAACACTAAACCCACCCCCCGCCACAGTCTGCGTCCCCGGTTTAAAACATTCCCGCGAAAACAGTAATAAAGACAACGGTGTTCATTAACTAAATAGAACTGATTTTATTTTTTGGGAAGGGGGTGAAGGGGGTATGTGGCTGGAGAGGATAGTCAACATGAACTGGGTAAAGAAACGGGGGCAGGTTCAGCTTCTGTGTCCACAAACATAACAGTCACCGGTTACCCTGCTCAGTCAGGAACCTAGCTTTCAAAGCCTCCCGGATGCACAGCGCGTCCCGCTGGGATCTTCTAATCGCCCGGCTGTCTGGCTGGGCGTAATCAGCAGCCAGGCTATTTGCCTCAACCTCCCACCCCGCCATAAAGGTCTCCTCCTTGCTCTCACAGAGATTGTGGAGCACACAGCAAGCTGCTATAACAATGGGGATATTGGTTTCGCTGAGATCACAGCGAGTCAGTAAGCTTCTCCATCTCCCTTTGAGACGGCCAAAAGCACACTCCACCACCATTCTGCACTTGCTCAGCCGGTAGTTGAAGAGTTCTTTTTCTGTGTTCAGGGCTCCAGTATAGGGCTTCATGAGCCAGGGCATTAGCGGGTAGGCTGGGTCCCCGAGGATCACTGTAGGCATCTCCACATCCCCAAGAGTTATTTTGTGGTCCGGGAAGTAAATACCTTCCTGCAGCCGTCTAAACAGACCAGAGTTCCTGAACACGCGAGCGTCATGAACCTTGCCCGGCCATCCGACGTTGATGTTGGTAAAACGTCCCCTATGGTCCACCAGTGCTTGCAGCACCATTGAAAAGTAGCCCTTTCTGTTAATGTACTGGCTGGCCTGGTGGTCCGGTCCCAGGATAGGGATGTGAGTTCCATCTATAGCCCCACCGCAGTTTGGGAATCCCATCGCGGCGAAGCCATCTATGATGGCCTGCGCGTTTCCCAGGGTCACTACCTTTGAGAGCAGTACCTTAACGATTGCGTTGGCTACTTGCATCACAACAACCCCCACGGTAGATTTGCCCACACCAAAGTGGTTCGCGACTGACCGGTAGCTGTCCGGCGTTGCAAGCTTCCAGAGGGCTATGGCCACTCGCTTCTGGACAGTCAGGGCTGCTCGCATGCGGGTGTCACTGCGCTTCAGGGCAGGGGACAGCAACTCACAAAGTTCGAGGAAAGTCCCCTTCCGCATGCGAAAGTTTCGCAGCCACTGGGATTCATCCCAGACCTGCAGCACTATGCGGTCCCACCAGTCCGTGCTTGTTTCCCGGGCCCAGAATCGCCGTTCCACAATATCCACATGACCCATTGCCACCGTGATGTCCTGGGCGCTGGGGCTCGTGGTTTCTGACAGCTCTGTGCTACTCTCCGACTTCAGGCCCTCACGGCGGTGCCGTAGCCTCCTCGCCTGATTTCTCTGCATCTGCCTCAGGGAAAGGTGTATGATAAGCTGCGAGGTGTTGAGAACGGCCACAACTGCAGCGATGGTCACAGCGTGATCCATGCTCGCAGTGCTGTGGCGTCCGCGCTGTCACTGACCAGAAAAGTGCGCGAACCGATTTCCCGCCGGCGCTTTCAGAGAGAGAGGGAGGGCGTTAGTGACGGACGGATGACGACAGTTACCCAAAAGCACCCTCGACACATTTTTTTACCCAGAAGGCATTGGCGGCTCGACCCAGAATTCCAATGGGCAGCGGGGACTGCGGGAACTGTGGGATAGCTGCCCACAGTGCACCGTTTCCAATATCGACGCTCGCCCTGTTAGTGTGGACTCACAAAGTCGAATTACTGTCCTTAGTGTGGACACACACGTTCGACTTTGCAATATCGATTCCACATATTCGATTTAAGTGAAATCGAACTACCCTCGTAGTGTAGACATACCCTAAGACTAACAGAAGTATTGGGAGCATAAGCTTTCGTGGGTAAGAACCTCACTTCTTCAGATGCAATTGTTTCAAAAAATGAAACAATTACTTCATAAACCATGACATCGGCTCCTTATCAGCACTCTGAGAGGACTCAGTACCGGGCAGTTGCTCTTCTGGCCCGGTGGGCTCTCTTATGCAGGGTTGAATTATGCTATAGGAAGGAAGGGCATGGGCAGTACTGCAACCAACCAAGTTTTACCTCTTAACATTAATTCTCAGTGACAAATGTTACCATGGGATCTGCCACTAATATCATTAAAACAACAATATTTAGCCTTTAAACAGATCTGTAATTTTTAGAAGCACTGTGAGACATGAACTAATTAACTAACTTCCTAAAAACCGACCCAGGAAATTGTTCTCTGAATGAACACTGGGAACTAAGCACTGTAAACAAGCCATGGCCGTTAGAAGTGACAAGTGAGAAAGACACTGGATACAGCTGAGCTTAGGAACTAACTGAGCACAGACCTGGACTCCTTGATCAGGAAAACCTACAGAACACTCTGGGCCCATTGATTAGAGAGACCATCCCCGACCTGTCCCATCCAGGCATCCCTCACTGCAAGGAATGGGAGATGTGTTACCAGACTGAGGGGTGTCCGTGGCCCTGGGTCTGCAGAGGGAATGGAAATTTACACAGAGATGCTGCTTTGCATATTTCCACCCGAGTGACAGTTCCCAACTGTTCAGAGCAGATATAAATGTGCCACCTTCACACTTTGTGCTTCTGAGCTCAGTGTTTGTCACTCTAGACATATCAAGATGAAGTCCCAGACTCAGCTACTCTGGCTCCTTGTGCTCTTCATTCAGGGTCAGAACAACAACAGGGGAAATTAGTTTAAAAAAAAGTTATAATATTTTACTAGGCTGCAAATGCTCAGAATTTCCTTTTCAAGCAATCATTCCCAATGGCATTTACAATGTTATTGAAGGAGGAATACAAGATAGCCACTTAAAGATGCAGCTTTGTAGTTAGTTAAAAATTACAAAGTTTGAGTCATTTTATATTTATTTTTCTTTTAACTGTTTTTTCTCCCATCCAGACTCCAGCGGGCAGATCGTGCTGACTCAGACTCCGGAATCCCTGGCAGTGTCTCCAGGAGACAGAGTCACCATCAACTGCAAAGCCAGTTCCAGTGTTAGCTAAAGCTACATGGCCTGGTACCAACAGAAATCAGGACAAGCTCCTAAGCTCCTTATCTACAGCGCTTCCTCCCGTCCCTCTGGGATCCCAGACCGGTTCAGTGGCAGTGGGTCGGGCACGGACTTCACTTTTACAATCAGCCGGTTTGAAGCGGATGATGCTGGAGATTATTACTGCCAGCAGCATGGCAGCTCCCCTCTCACACAGTGATACAGACCAGCACAAAAACCTCCCTGCTCTGTTTAATTTCAGACTCTCACTCACAGTATTTCAGCTGCTTCCTGTGCAGTTTCCTGGTGTTGATGCTTCTACTGCCCTGCACTGGGACGCCTGGGTGTGTCAGACTTGCGTCCCTTCCCTCCTCACTCCAGAATTTCTAGTCCTTTCAGGTGCTCCCTCCCACCATGTGGTCCAGCACTCTTTACTCAGCAATTGCTCCCCCACGACTAATATAGATTTGCTCTTATCGGCTGCATCCAACTTCCTACTGACAGCAGGTTACAATCCCAGTACCTTTGTAGTGAGCCGAGAAAACGGACAGAGAACTGTACTCCAGCTTTCTAAAGCACCCACAGTGACAACTGCAATAGACTAATCCAAACAAGTCAGACTAAAAGCTGCTGTAGGATTCAGCTTCTTATCTAGCAAAGCACAGTCACTGAGGCAGCTCCCCTTTCCCAGCAGAAACCCCTCCGCAGGGCTGGGACTCTGTGATACTGGCAGAAATGCAATCCAGAATTCCTGCCCAGTGCCCCCAGAGCAGGGTTACATGACACGTGGTAAAAACAGCTGAGCCATTTTTACATTGCAGCTTCCAGCAGTGCCACCATCGCTGGAGCTGCACCCAGGATGAATTCTGGGTCCCAGTTTTGCCAGCACAGGTGAAGTCAGTGGGATTCTGGGTGCGAGGGCAGCAGGGGGAGGAACACAGCTATCACTATACCTGAGCTGTGGTCCATCTAATCCAATATCACTCTCCAACAGTGGCCAGTCCCTGGTGCTTCAGATAGAAGAAACTCTTCAGTAACAGTTACATTCCACTTGGGTCTCCATAGGCAGAGCAGCAGATATCCAAGCTCCACAGAATGACATTTCAATCTGAGCGCATCCAGGTGGTTTCCTGTCATTTTGTTTCCGCTTCCTATCCGCCTATAAACATGAGGGGACAGAGTCTGTGCTATGTTTCCTGAGAGATGCAGCCCACAGGGAGGGGGCAAAGTTAAGATTCTGCCCATGCCTGGGCTACTTCAGCACCCAATGAAAGTTAGAACCGCCCCTGGGTCTCCTGTAATTTACAGCTGCCTCCCCAGAGGGATAGCTCAGTGGTTTGAGCATTGGTCTGCTAAACCCAGGGTTGTGAGCTCAATCCTTGTGGGAGTCATTTAGGGAACTGGTGTAAAAATCTGTCTGGGGATTGGCCCTGCTTTGAGCAGGGGGTTGGACTAAATGACCTCCTTAGGTCCCTTCCAACCCTGATATTCTATGATGCCTCTGATCTGTCAAATCCACAATAGCTCCGAGCTACAATGCCAGTCTCTGCAGGCCTGAAAAGGTTGACATTTAAAAGTGACTTTTGAAGCTGTTCCATGTTGTGTAAATAATTAAATATTCATTGGCCCAGAGAGAGAGAGACTGGTTAGGGCAGAACCTGGGACGTGGAAGACCTAAATTCAAGGCCCTGCTCCGATGCCTATTTAATTAGTTACACAAAGTGGACAGCTCCAACAAGAGAGATTTAGAGACACCTGTCCCACAATACCCCATAACTTGGTGGTCACGGAAATCACCTGAACTTTGGTTTCCCAGAGCCCAAATCCCTACTCCAATGCAGGCAGAGAAGGGATTTGAAAATAGGTCTCCCACATCCCAGGTGAGTGTCTTAACCACAAGGCTATTGGTATGATAGAGTGAGTCATCACTCAGACTCTCTCTCTGGTTTTTCAGGAGAAAGGGCAGACCTGGCTGAGGTGCCCAAATCCAGGAATGGGTGTTGACAGCTGTGAATTCCAAGCAGAGATGGGCACCTCCTGCCTGCACGGATTTAGGTGTCTAACTACCTTTGAGGGGCAGGGCTGAGGCCCCACCTCTTTCCTCAGCATTTCCTACTGGCTAGCTTAGACCGGTCCCTGCTCAACGTGCTGGATTCTGTGACCCCTTCTCAGGCACCAAAAACTTGCCCCATGCCTGGTATAGGGAGCCAGATGTCTAATGAAGGGATGAAGAGTCCACCGGATGGCAGAGAACCTGATTGTCGAAGGTTCTGAGCACCCACTGCATCTACTCACTTGTATCTGAGAGGCAGGTGCTCAGCACATCTGACATGAGGCTATAATTTAGCTCTGTTATAGCTAGAGGTCTCAGGCGACTGTTCCACACAATGTCACCATCGTGGGGGTCTACTCCGATGGGGAGGCCAGCCATTCGGGATCACAGCTATGTCTGAGAAGGGCAAGGTGCCCTGAAGGAAGTGACAGTTGAAGAGTGACCATATGGAGAGGTGTAAAATGAAGGCTCATGCCTAGACCCGGGCCGCACAGCACAAGGGAATAACTAGGGGAGATATGTCAGATATGCTAAGATACATGGATGATTGGTAGAGACTTCTGTGTACGTTAACATGGGAATCTTGGAAATACAAAACATAATTCTAACAGAAGAGGAGCAGGAAATAAACCAAATATGAACATTTCATAACTCTATTGAAACTAAAGGGCAGTAAATTTACATGCAAGCTCCCCTTGTTACTCCAGCTCTATCCTGCCCTACACTGAGGGGTGTACGTGGTCCAGGGTCTGCAAAGGGACTGGACATTTACAGAGAAATGCTGCTTTGCATATTTCCACCTGAGTGATAGTTCCCAGCTGTTCAGAGCAGATATAAACGTGTCACCTTCACACTTTGTGCTTCTGAGCTCGGTGTTTGTCACTCTAGACATATCAAGATGAGCTCCCAGACTCAGCTACTCTGGCTCCTTGTGCTCTTCATTCAGGGTCAGAACAACAACAGGGGAAATTAGTTTAAAATAAAGTTATAATATTTTACTAGGCTGCAAATGCTCAGAATTTCCTTTCCAAGCAATCATTCCCAATGGCATTTACAATGTTATTGAAGGAGGGATACAAGATAGCCACTTAAAGATGCAGCTTTGTACTTAGTTAAAAGTTACAAAGTTTGAGTAATTTTATATTTATTTTTCTTTTAAATGTTTTTTTCCCATCCAGACTCCAGCGGGCAGATTGTGCTGACTCAGACTCCGGAATCCCTGGCAGTGTCTCCAGGAGACAGAGTCACCATCAACTGCAAAGCAAGTTCCAGTGTCAGCAGCTGGATGGCCTGGTACCAACAGAAATCAGGACAAGCTCCTAAGCTCCTTATCTACAGCGCTTCCTCCCGTCCCTCTGGGATCCCAGACCGGTTCAGTGGCAGTGGGTCAGGCACGGACTTCACTTTTGCAATCAGCCGGTTTGAAGCAGATGATGCTGGAGATTATTACTGCCAGCAGCATAGCAGCACCCCTTTCACACAGTGATACAAACCAGCACAAAAACCTCCCTGCTCTGTTTAATTTCAGACTCTCACTCACAGTATTTCAGCTGCTTCCTGTGCAGTTTCCTGGTGTTGGTGCTTCTACTGCCCTGCAATGGGACGCCTGGGTGTGTCAGACTTGCCTCCCTTCCCTCCTCACTCCAAATTTCTAGACCTTTCAGGTGCTCCCTCCCACTATGTGCTTCAGCACTCTTTACTCAGCAATTGCTCCCCTGCCACTAACATAGATTTGCTCTTATCGGCAGCATCCAACTTCCTACTGACAGCAGGTTACAATCCTAGTACCTTTGTATTCAGCTGAGACAACGGACAGAGAACTGTACTCCAGCTTTCTAAAGCACCCACAGTGACAACTGCAATAGACTAATCCAAACAAGTCAGACTAAAAGCTGCTGTAGGATTCAGCTTC